GAGGCAGTTCTGCCCAGGACAGACGTCAGCAGTGACTCATGGCTAAGAGCTGATTCCAGCTGGCCTGCCCCAGGGACCTGTCTTTCTCAACACCCACCACATGCAGGAGTCAGCTGGCTGGTCCTTGGGGAGCTCTTACCCACAGTTGCAGAGAAATCCATGGCAAAGTCCCAGAGAATGAATGCATGCATTGTACTGAAGCAGGCAAGGGCTGCTTCCTCTCCCTCAGTTGGATGTGTTGGGTGCGGCTGGGTAACCAAACCCGGTATAGACAGGGTACCCCAGAGCAGTCCCACAAGAGAACCACACCTTCTCTGCTTCCCCAAGTGACAGTCCTTGGCCTCCTGCTCCAGAACAAGAGGGCCTTTTCAGAACCCCATGATGTGTGTGGCAGCCAGCACCCCTGCTCCGTGTCCCAAGGAAGCTCACAGGAAGGACAGCTGATGCCCTGGACAAGGTCCCCACCCAACCCCCAACCTCAGGACGATGGCTGTTGTTGAACATCACACTAGGTCTTAGGTCAAACCCCAGGGAACCAGGCAGAGTGGCCCAGAAAGATGGATGGCAGGGCCTCACCTTCACCTGGATACCTGGCAAAGAGAATCCAGAAATGCACCCTCAAGATTCCAAGTCAGCAGTGCTGAGTGGGCCCAGGGAATAAGCATTTAATTCCACTGATAAACTATGCATGTATCTCTGTATGCACCCTGTGCTTGTGCAATGGTTTGAATAGCGTTTTTCCCCTGCCCCACAGAATCAGCATCCACACAGAACCTTAGAATGTGACTTTCTTTGAAAGTAGTTTTTGCAGATGTAATTAGTTAAGGATCTGAAGCTGAAACTGTACTAGATTGACAGTGAACCCTGAATCCAGTGCCTGGTGTCCTTACAAGACAGGAGACACACAGAGAAGAAGCTGTGTGAAGACAAGCAGGACGAGGGCAATGCAGCCACAGGCCAACGCGTTCCCGGTGACTCCAGAAGCTCCGAGACGTAGGAAGCGTCCTCCCCTAGTGTTAGGAGGGGCACTTGCAAACGCCTTCATCTCAGACTTCCGGCCCCCAGAACGGTGAGGGAATCCGTTCCTGTTGTTTTAGGCTAACCAAGTGTGTGGGAGTTCGTTACAGCAGCCCTAGGGAACTACTACTGTATGTCTGCGCTTTATATATAAAATGTTATATTTTGTATGCGTCCCCTTTCCCCCAAGAACCAACTCGCAACCCCTTGAGGGTGATACCACCCCTGCTGAAAATGCTTTTGCGTCTTATAAACAGCAGCGGAGTAACTCCTGAAGAAGCCCAGGGAAACCCCCAGGGTTTTAGGAGGTAGACGACTGAGGTATATCCGAATCGAAAACGTTTAATGCTTTTGGTTGGAGCAAATGATCAGGCAAACAAGGAACATCGTGTTTTATTGGCTGAAATAGAGTGTTTGGAACAGAATTATTGTATTCTCATCAAACAATTCATTTTACAGGAGGAGCAATTCCAGAGTGCAGGGTGGGGCGGGGGTAGTTCTCAGAAGCCCCGTATTTCAGCCTGTAGAGAACATTCTCTAGCCAGTCGGGGAAGATACCACTCCAAATGATGCTCTTCCAGATTTAGTGGATTTGCTCAGAAAACGCAAGCAGTTGCTAAATGGGAGAGGAAGAGGGAAATTATATCCCGACACCCACTTTGCCCCGGATGCTCGTGGTGCCGAGCCTTCTGTCCCAGGAGAAACAGTGGCAGGCGGGCCTCCTCTGGAAGGAGTCTGGAGTGTTTGATTGAGAAGCCTTAAGTCATCAGGCTAACCTCTGACGTTTATCGTGTGCTTTCTGTGTGCTGGGCACTGGGCTTGCGGACTCTACAGCTCCTCTCACTTGTCCCACGACAACCCAGTGAATGAGGTAGGCACATCCCCATTTTACAGATGAGGAAACTGAGGCACAGGGGGTTAAGTCACCTGCTGGAGGTTACACAGCTAGTGAAAAGAAGGCTGGGGTTTGAACCCTGCCCCGTCTAAATTTTAAGACCCAAGCTCCTAAACACAGTGCATGGGCAGGATCCTTTTGCTAGTGGGTTGTTTCTGTCCTGATCACAACAGGTTAATGAACAAGAGGGAGAAAGAAACCAAGCCAAGGAACTTCCAACCCTGAGGTTTAGGGAAATACAGAAGCCAGGAACTTGGCAGCCCTTGGATTTTTAATTTCACACCTCCCAAAGGTAGGAAAGACCTACTGATTGATGAAGCTCCAGCTTGGGCCCCAGAGACCTCCAGCAAGGGAGGGGGACTGCAGCAGATGCATCATGGCTGTCTGCTGCTTCCGTGGCCCACCTTCCCTTGTCCTGGGGTGATCTGCTCTCTCCTAACCCACTGCTGCTTCTGGAGGAAATGGCAATCACAAGACCCGCAGCCCCTTGGCCAGTACATCTGTAGGAGTGAGCACTTTACTCAAACAGGGCCAGGCAGAGGCTTCTTTGGGATTTGGAATAGAGAATTCTCTCAGCCTTAGAGATTGTGAATCCTGTGGTTGTAGACTTGGGGCTGCTGGCAGACACCTTTCCCACTAGGCAGAGGAGAGGATGAGACCAGCCTGAAAAAAGATACAGAGCTAGGAGGCCTGGGTAAGTTTGAGAGGATGAGTATATGAGCCTGAGGACACTACGCTCCTGGATCCAGCCATACCTGAAACAAGCACGCCCTTAGCCATCCCAGTTACAGGACCCAGGGAATTCCCTTTGCTTAAGCCAGTTTGAGCTGGAGCCTTCTCATGGGAGAAAGAATGAGCTCTCGGGAGAACTGAGAGGGCCTGAGGCTCATCCCTTTTTTCCAGGCTGGAGAGGTCACAGCAGATCCAGGTTTCCGTTCTCAAGCCAAGTATAACCCCAAGTCAAGGAAAGGCTTCTCCATCCTCCCCTGGTGCTGGTCCTAGACAATTAATGTATGGGGAGTGCTAGGACAGCTTAGCCCAGAATGCTTCTAGGGCACACCTGGGTTTTAGAGGCAGGTGAGAAACTCATCTAAAGACTGGTGCAAATATCTCAGATTCCTCAGTGATTAATGCCTGGTGACATGGGAGCAACTAGCTTTGAGAACGTCCCCCGTCTCCCCCTACCACTCTCCCTCATGTGCACATACACCTTGATGCAGGATGCGGTTTTGGATTTTGTTTCTATACCTGAGGAGCAAACAGAGATGGATGAGACTCCCTCCTTGGAGGGAGAAGGATGTCTATGAGAAGGTAGCTCCTTCTCTCTGCTCCAGGTTTGGGGGTGAGGCTGGTAGGCAAGGAAATCCTTGCTCTTCTTGTTCCATCATGCTGAGACTACATGGAAGCATCAAGCCCACGGTTGCAAGCCTACCCCTTGGGCAAGGCCCAGTGACTCTGGGTGTTGACCAGAGATAACCCCCAACTGTAAGGAAGGCTACAAGGGAAGAGTACCAGTGAGCCATCTGGGCCCAGATTGGCCCCCCAGCTGTTGATAGAGCCATATTTGTGAGGTCCCTCCCAGGCAGATAATATGAGTGACAGTCACAGTGAGGGGGTAGGGTAGGGACTGGGGTAGCCCCATCAAGGAGCAAAGTTGTATTGCCTTTACATGGTAACAGTGGCCCCGTTTTGCCAACAGTCCCAAATGCCTAAGGGAAGCTGGACAGTTGGATTTCTGTATGAAATGCCCCCAGTTTTTGAATCCCTCTATAGGCAAAACAAAAGTCAGATCAGTCTGCAGGCTGCCAGTTAGTAACCTCTGACTTGTTGCCTTTTTGGAAGCCCCGGAAAGGAGACGTGTCCTCAAGCCCCAAGGATACCCAAAACTTTTCATGCAAGAACTCAGGGAAAGTCTGTCAATATTGAAGCTGGTTGTAGGGGTCAGGTTTGCCCTGGGGTGGACACAACAAAGTCACAACCTCCTCCTCCCCACAGGGGAGTCCTGGTGCCATGTTGAGATCCTAGATCCAGCCTTACCTGAAGCAAGGACTCCTGGACTGGCCAGTTGAATGTGATCATGACTGGTTACCCTTTTGAGTGGGTCTCTGTGACTTACAACCAAAAAAGTCATAATTAAATTGCTCCAAGGAAAGAGAAGGACCTCTAGAGGAGTTTAAAGACAGCCAAAGACACTTCATCCCTGCCTGGGCTTCCCCACCCTCCTCAAGTCAGTGGTGGTCAGGCTGCCTTCCTAGCCAAGTGCTGGAAGATGGGTTTCAGGCCCGGGTGGGCTACTCGCCACAGAAAGTGACCCTGTAACTCATATATCTGCTCAGCACGCATGTCTTGGGACCCAGGGCATTGCTTTGCAGTCCGTTGTGAAAGTCATTTCTGCCAACCCAGCATTCTTTCCCTCTTCTTCCTGTGGGGCACCCCAGTATTCCTAGAGGCAACTTCTTTATGCTTTTCAAACCAGGTGGTTGGCGTCAGGAACAGGCATTGGTCCAGGTAGACCAATCGCTGAAACCCCATCTTGGTATGGTAACTGGCCCAGATCGGACACAGGACCCTGTCGGCCAATCAGTGTTCTCTGGTACCCTGGCAACTGTGATTGGTTCAGGGACCAGTGTGGGACCCAGGCAGGCTGATTAGACTCCATTCTGGGAGCTTGGATGGAACTTTGGGAGACAGAGGTTCTCATCTGCAGCTGAGCTGGGGGAAGGGAGGGACCCTAGTGGTAGTGGGATCCCCTGCATGGGGAGGGCACCTGAGAAGGCAGCTGCCCCCAGGGAAAGCAGAGCCAGGGATGGAAAGGGGATGCTGAGCCCGATGATATCCCTGAGCTCCCGGACCAGGCAGACCCAAAGGTGGCCCAGCCACTCCCTGGCTTTTCCTGACGTGAAGCCCAAAGAAGATCATTCCGTCCTTGCATCCTTGAGAATGCGTGAGCTGGATCATTGCCATTGGCTCCAGATGCCCCAGCTTAGTCAGTGTCCAGACCCAGGGCTGCAGCCCACATGGTCCCAGACCCCATGGACACTTACAGACCTGGGAGGCAAGCAGGCTGCCCCACAGGGCTCAGTCCCAACTATCTGGAGACCAGGGGGCTGCTGTGGGACTGGCCAGATGAGGAGGAAGTGGTGGCGCTGAGCTGGGAGAAACCGCTGGTGCAGGATTCCAGGCTGGACATGGAGCCCCTGGGGAGGAAGGGCATCGCACACACATTACCTTCTGGTGGAGACACAGGCTTGGGGGCCCCGCACAGCAGTGGAAAAGCTGGTGATGCTGCAAATGAGGCCCCAGGGCCCTTTCCACGAGGCTGGTAACCACCCCAGGCACAGAGGGCAAGTGCGGAGGGAAAAGCAAGTGAAGCTGTGATGAGAAACAAGGCTCCGCCCATTTTCCTGCCCCACCCCCAAAGATCCCCACCTGCCGCACACCATTCAGGAGCTTCCATGAGCTGGGGATCTAGCATGGCCCAGAAGGTGCCCCACGGCCTGGGCAGTCCCCAGCCCTATCTCTAGCCTAGGCCAGGCCCCTCATCCCATGCTCTCACAAAACGCTGTGCTGAGACCTCCGGCACCTCCCAGCTGTGTGACCTTGGACAAGGACCCAGGCTGGAACATCGGCATGGCATCCACTGCTGGTTCATAGTTACATGCAGGTGTGATCGTGTGGCCTCCTGCTCCATGACGGCAGCCTCTGTGTGTCTGGTCCCCCAGGGCCCAGCCCAACGCCTGCCTACTGAGGACGGCCAGGAGCTAGCCCTTGACCTGGTTCTCTGTGAGCTGTTGAAGGTCAGGGCTGCAAGCGTCCCCAACACGGACCAGACCAGGCAGGCTGGCAAGCAGCATCTGGCCCGCCCTTTAGCTGCCACCTGCCCTCCTGGAGGCGGCAGCCCCTGGATGCTCGTGTCTACGGGGTCTGTCCCCTGCACTGGCTGGTGCCCAGTGCCCAAAACAAGCTGCTTCCCAAAGAGGAAATCACCAGCCCTGCCATGCTGTGGGGCTCTCTGTGGAGTGAAGACACTGGCCCAGTATCTCTCACACTGGGCTGCACGTGTCCTTAGGGCACTTGGACCTGCACCTGGCATGTAGATACAGATGCACACCCTCCTGGAGCCTCGATTTGACCCCACGGTAAAGAATGTAAAGCATTAATTTTAGAAGGAAACTAACAGAGGGACTCGGTGGTTCAGTCAGTGGATCTGACTCTGGATCTCAGCTCAGGTCTGGATCTCAGGGTCATGAGTTTGAGTCTCTTGTTGGCCTCCACGCTGGGTGTGGAGCCTACTTTTAAAAAAAAGAAAAAAAAAGTAGGAAACTAACAGAGCTATGTCATGAAGCAGGAAGCAAAATGACATTTGTTTTTAAAAGATAAACTGTAAAGCCGTGAAGAAACTGCCAGCTCCATCTCGTCACCCTCTGCTTCATTTCTGCCATCAAGTGCTTTCTGTATGCCTCAGGGAAGGGCAGGCTTCCACCAACCACTTCTTCCTGATGACAACTCCGGATGCGGGGGGTTTCAGCGGCCCCCGTTTAACTGGTGGGGAGGCTGAGGCTCAGACAGCTTAAGTGACTTGCTTGAGGTCACACAGCAACCAGGAAGCGCTGGAGGTCTTAGCCACCACTCTCTCGGAAAGCAACACTTGGGGAGAGGTGTCTGTGAGACACTATTCTAGAATGTTCTAGAACAATCCAGACCCTGTGTTATGGGTTTCTAGGAGTGAGAGGAGGTCCAAAGAGGAGGGCTTTGAGCTCCCCTCCCCCCTGCCATCGATCTGGTATATTGGGGTTCTGTCCAGAGTTTCATTGGAAGGGGACGTTCTGCAGCTGGAGCAGGATTTAGACATAGCGTTGGACCCAACTGCTCACACAGGTGCTGAACCACTGGCGAATTTTAACAATACCCATGCTGAGGCCCCGCCCCTGGATAAGCTCAAAGGCACGTGGGAGAAATGAATCCAATGTCACCCAGCCCAGAAGGAAGGAGCCTCAGAAGCGCTATGGGCCTGGCCTGGAGGAGAGCGGGGTGGGGGGGGGGCTTCCTGCCCAGGATCCCCGTCCAGCCCCTCCTACCTGAAGTCCTCAGACGCCAGCACCTCGTAGTAGTAGAGAAGTTTGCACTTGGGGCCGGGGCTGTGCAGGGCCGTCAGGACATCCTCCACCCCCGGGAGGCTGCAAGCCGCATTCCCAGGGGGGCTGTGCATTTGCCACTGGAGCAAATAGATACCAGGCCACCGGGTCACATGGGAGCCCTGAAACACAGCAGCCCTCCCTGAGGCTCTGGTCCACGTGGGGGCGGACGGGAGCCCCTTGCCGAACCAATCCAGGGCCTCCTGACGTATCCTTGACTCCTCCGCCGTTACCCCCCTATCTGTGGGGGCTGAGAGCCTCCCTCTTATCGGGTGGGAGTGGAGGCCGGCGGGGGTGGAGCTGCGGTTGTAGGAGAACAGGTGCAGGTGGTTAAACACCTGGATTTTGTTGGGCTTTTGTTCTGCTGCCCCAGGAGGGATCTGGGCAGGGAGCTGGCAGGTTGGTTAAGGTTAGTGGAGGGCCCGGATGGCGAGAATGGAGGTGTTAGTTGTTGTAACTTCAGGGGTTATAGAGGGGCTATATAGGGTGCTAGGGGTGCTGGTGTGTGAGGTGCAGGACAGCCTGCTGCACAGGGACCCTGTGTGAGACCTGCCGTGCTCACTGGAGCCTGTTTGTGCAAGGTGGGTGGAGCGGGGCTGGTGGTCGAAGACTTGCCAACACTGGCCTCCAGCAGCATGTGAGTAGCGGCGGGGCGGGGTGGTTCATGTTCCAAGACACATCTGAGTTCTGTTGCCAGTGTTAGGGCATCTCTAATGCTCTAGGTTCTGAAACTAACACATCAGAAATCACTGGGAGAGGGTAGGGGATGCCGAGTCCGGGCCTCATGCCCAGAGGTTCTGAGTTAGGCCCCTGACATGGGGCCTGGTGGTCTGAGGTTTTGACAAGAGTCCCGGGGGATTCTGAGAATGGGGCCCTGGGGTCCCCAAAGTCCTCAATCTGCCCAGTTCTTTCTCCCTCACTGTCCTACAGGGTCGCTGAGGTCGAGGGCCAGAACCCCAGCACACAGTGAACACTCAATCCTGTACGATGAATGAATAAATGAACAAAGGAGCTCAAACCTGGATGCTCTCCCCTTCCCGGCAGACAAGAGGGGCTTCGACACGGCTGTAATCCACACCTAGGACCCAGCCTTTGTCCATCAGCTGCCCGCCGACCCTGGCCCCCGGCTCCTGGCGGCCAGGCTGGGGCATCTGCTTGCTGTGGTACAGGCTGAAGACCACGTCCCCTCTCAGGATGTCAAAGTCCCAGGTGATGACTGATTCCCCCTCCAGAATCTCCACCGCGACCTGCATGGAGGGTAGGGGCAGAGTCTGGAGTCCCGTCTGGAATCCCACCAGGAGTGGGGAGCTGGGATGGGGAGGTCAGCTGTAGGAAGTGCTGTGGGCTGCCCACCTGGGTCTCCAGTCCCCACTGTGACTGTGAGGAGGATGGGCTGCTGAAGCCCCCAGCTTCCACTGTCTAAGAACTGCTCTGGGGAGATGCACCTGTCTCTGTCTTGAAACGGCTAGGAGGTCCCACCCTGTTGCGGGGTGGGTAATCCACAGCCGAGTCTGACAGAGTACAAAAGGCCTGTCCATCTGTCGTGCTCTGCACAGCCCAGTGTTCCCCTCGGGTCAGGCTGGGCGAGACTCGGCGCACCACCCCTGTGCTTACATCCGTCCCCACGCCCACCCTGCCCCACCTCTCCTTACAGGTTTCTGCTGAGAACTCATCCTGAACACATCGCTGGCACAAGAACCCTGGCCTCAGGCTCTGCTTCAGGGGACCCTGGCCTAAGACAACACCCCAGCCCAGCGTGTCCTCCCAGGCCAGGTCCCAGCACCTCATGGGGGGCCCCTCGGAGCACGCTGGCCGACTGGTAGGTCTCTCTCCACTGCCGCAGCTGGTCCGTGTGCTCCTGCTCCTCCTCCGTCAGATAGAGGGACTTGGGGACCAGCCCTCCTTCAGGGACATTACACTGGGGGACAAAGACAAAGGTGGCAGTCCTGGCTGACTCAAAGAAGGGTGCTCTGTGACCCCTGAAATTGCACTTGTCACAGTGACCCTTTAGTGAATAGGGAACCGGGCTTCCATGACCTCATTGACTCTCCAGGAACCACAATGCAGTAGGAGCTATTATTCTTCCCATTCACAGAGGAGGAAAATGGAAGCTCAGAGAGGGCAGGCCACTTGCCCAAGATCACACAGCAGAATGTGGCTGAGCCTGGGCACAAACCCATGTTTATCAATCCCCCCGCTGGGCTCATGTCTCTTATTACCATGCTGGACTTACAGGCCCATTTGCTAAACATAAGTCATGCATACGTATCTCAACAAGTGGAAAAAATGGGCAAGCTTGGCAGAATTCCTAGGAAATGCCTTTTTTAAACTCAAAAATCAGGTAAACTTGGAGTCTGGTATTCTGTTAGAGAAGGAAGAGGGGCTTGCCTTCCCATAGCCAGATGAGATAAGACTGTCCTGACCCAGGGTCACCCCTTTCTGTGACACCTCACCCCCAGGGGGAGGCAGTAGAAGGGGTCTGTGGCTGCCTCCCCTTCAAGCAGTTGGCCGATCTTCCCACTCCGTGGAGCTGTGGGTTGGGAATAAATCCCTTTGGGTACACCAGCTCCGGGGTCCAGACCACTGGGCTGGGAGTCCCCTGTCCCGGCAGCAGAGGGCGCAAAGTCAGCAGGTAAACTGGGCTGCGTAGCAACATACTGAATGGGGAATACCAAGATAAACCCTTGATGGCCTGGTCTCTGCACTTCCAGAAACTTCCATCTGGATCACTATGTTGATCCACAAGGTAAGGTCCCTCCTTGGGAGAAGACTCACCTCTCTTGGGGGCAGCTTTGGAAAACAAGGCCTGCCACCACGAAGAGAAAGTGTGACCTCTCCAGGTGTCAGCACCCACACACACAAGGGCGGGGCCCCACTGCAGCCTCTGCGCGGACCTCTGCAGCCCCACCCCAGGGCCTGCGGCCACACACTCACCACACATTCTCCCCCGAGGAAGTCGGGGATCACTTCTTTATCCAGGTAGTCCACAAGGCCTCCGGGGCCCTGGTAATTGCTGCCGCTGTAGATGAGAAACTTCTGCCTGGTGTTTTCATTGATGAAGGGGCTGATCTGAAGTGGGGGAGAGGAGACAAGATGGAACGGGGTGTTTGTTTGTTATGTGGAGATGTAACACATCACAAAGAATTAACCACTTTATTTTACTGGTTTTTTAAGTTTTAATTTATTTAAGCAATACACCCAGTGTCGGACTTGAACTCGTGACCCTGAGATCAAGCATCACATGCTCTTCGGTTCTTTTTTTTTTTTTAAGATGTTATTTATTTATTTGAGACAGAGAGAGCAAGAGTACACGTGCACGATCCAGGGGCAGGGCAGAGGGAGAAGGAGAAGCAGACTCCCCAGTGAGCACGGAGTCCGACACCCGGCTCGATCTCAGGACCCCGAGATCATGACCCAGGCCAAAGTCAGACGCTCAACAACTAAGCCACCCAGGAGCTCCAACGTCACACGCTCTTCTGTCTGAGCCAGCCAGGTACCCCAGAATTAACCATTTTAAAGCGAACAGTTCAATTGCTTTTAGTTTGTTCACTATGTTGTAGAACTACCACTTTCCTGCAATTCCAAGACTTCTCATCAACCCAAAAGGAAACCCCATTCCTTTTACACATTCAGACACATCAGCAGTCCCTCGCCATGCCCCTTGCCCAGCCCCTGGCAACCACTGATCTGCTTTCTCTCTCTATGGATTTGCATGTTCTGGACCCTTCGTAGAAATGGAAGCACACGACACGTGGCTTTTCGTGTCTGGCTTCTCTCACTCAGCGTCATGGTTCCCTAGTTCATCCACATTGGAGCCCAGGTCCCTCCTCATTTCTTTTTATGGCTGAGTAATACCGCACTATATAGATGATGCTGTTTCGTTGACCCCAGATGGAAAGAATTTCAATACTGAACTCAGTCGGTTGTTTCTCAAAGCACCCCCCACCCAGTGCTGGTGTGGTACGTGACGAGATCTGTAGTTGAGGCAGGAAGGAAGGACTTGATACTGTCGGGGCACAGGCCAATTCAGCAAGGAATGCCACAGGTGGAAGATGGACAGGGAACTGGGAATGCCACCTGTGTGCTCACTGTCCTTCAGCCTCCATCCTGGGAAGCGGTCCCCTGCGGGCCTCGACAACTTGGCTCCATGCCATTGACTTTCCGTCTTTTGTGGCCATTGGGCGGGGGTGGGGGGCAGTGGCAGAAGATGGGGATTGGGAACAGAGAAAGAGGCCAGGGTACTTCTTCCCCCACTCCCGCCCACCTCAGTGCCCCGGACACCCCCACCCCCACTCCATTCCAGCTCTCATGGGGTTCAGTAACATTGTCATCCCCTCTGCTTGTCCCTCCGTCCCCAGGGGTGGTCAGGGCTCACTGCAGGGGCTAGCTCATGGGGCCTCTCCATCCTGCCCATACCTCTGCCAGGAGTTCTTTCATGTTACGTCCCCACTAAGCCATTGGGGTGAATCCCACTTCTGGCCAGCACCCTAAATGGCTCCCACCATCACCCAGTATCCAAACAGCAAGGGAACATCATTTTCACAAAGATCAGTATATTTCAAGATAAAAAGCTTTACGAGCAGGTCCTGCCCGTCCCTCCCACAGCTCCTGCTCCCTGGCCCAGCCCCAGTAGAGCCTTGAAGTAGCCACAGGAGCCAGAGAATGTTCTGCCCCAGAAGTCTGCTCACATCCCCTCCTGTTGACAATCCTCCATGGCTCCCTAGTGCCCCAGGACAAAGCCCACCTTCACCACAGCCTGGACTTGGCAGGCACTGGTCTCTGAGCATTTCCCCAGCCTCTGCCAGGGCCACCAGCCCTTTTTCTTTTTGCTCCAACCACTCCAGACTGGGTTTTCAGGTTCTCAAAAGCATCAAACACAATCCTGCCTCCAGGCCTTGGCCCATGCTATGTGGGTTGCCTGGCCTGTCCTTCCTCCCCACCCTTCCCTGCATGACTCTTGCTCCTTCTGAGGGTCTCAGCCACAAGTCACCTCCTCTGAGGGACCTTCCTCAGTTCTCCAATCTAAATTACTTCTCTGCATCACCCACTGCCTGACTTAGCCTCTCCAAGAACCCTGCCATCCTCACGCACAGGGTTCTTGGAGAGGCTAAGTCCCAGGTTCCCTGTGACAAGTCCCTTGTCACAGGGAACCATGAAGCGTTGGCTTGTGCGGGGTTATCTGCTTTATCTCTCCCCACCCAGTGACAGTGGTGGGGAGACACAGAGGCTGGCTTGTTTATTCCAAATCCCCAAGGCCTGGAAGGTGTCTGGCACATAGTAGGTGCTTAGTGAAGCACTGAATCCACTTAACTCTCAAATGTCTGTCTGATTGAACCTCAATTTGTAGTAGAGGTTCTCTGGTTTTCTGGGACGCTGAATCCTTGGAGGGGGCCTGTGGACCAGCAGCAAGACCCCAGTGGTTTCCAAGTGCCAGTGACAACCTGCTCATGGTGGTGAGATGGAATCAGGGCATTGTGTCTAGCCAATTTTTAATGGAATGGAATAGAAGAGTGAAGAGGGTAAAACCATCACTTGCAGATCTGTTTCGTGTGTGTGTGTGTGTTGGGCTATAACATAATGTATATTTCTTATTGTGGGTCTTGGATAAAATGTTTTAAAATCCCTACAGCAGGGGCGCCTGGGTGGCTCACTGGGTTAAGCCTCTGCCTTTGGCTCAGGTCATGATCTCAGGGTCCTGGGATCGAGCCCCGCATCGGGCTCTCTGCTCAAGCGGGGAGCCTGCTTCCTCCTCTCTCTCTCTCTCTCTGCCTGCCTCTCTGCCTACTTGTGATCCCTGTCAAATAAATAAATAAAGTCTTAAAAAAAAAAATCCCTACAGCAATAAATAAATAAAATATTTTTTAAATAAAATAAAATACGGACAGCACAGAATCCCAACACTCCTTGGAGCCGACTCACAGGAACCCCAGGGATGCTGTACTGTCGAGTGCGACTCCAGTGTTCACAAGCAGGACAACAGATACATAAATCCTGGTCCACCCATACGGCAGAGTCGTATTCAGACATAAAAAGGACTGAAGGACTGATCCGAGCTACAGCACGCATGAATGGGGGATCAGCACGCTCAGTGAGACGCTCAGTGAGACGCTCAGTGAGACGCTCAGTGAGACGCTCAGTGAGAGTAATCAGATGCAAAAGACCTCGTATTGTATGATCCCACTTACGGGACAGACCGCGAACAGGCAAATCCATGGAGACAGAAAGCAGCCTGACAGCTGCTGGGAGCTGGGGAGTGGGGAGCGGTGGGGCTGCTGATGGCTACAGGGCTTCCTTCTGGTGTGCTGATAATGTTCTGGTGGGATGGTTGCACAACTCTGTGAATCTACTAAAAACCACCGAATTCAGCACTTGGAAAGGGTGAACCTTATGGTTCATGAGTTCTACCTCAATAAAGCACAGGGCATCATGTCTTTGAGCCCAAACTTAGGAGAAATGACACGGAACAAGCAGGCAAAGGGAACCCCCCCCCCCATCTCGGCCATCTCTGCCTGGCAGGGGCCTGGCCCGGGCGCCTGCTCTCACCAGCGTCCAGAGCACCGGGAAGACGCGAGGGGCTCGCACGATGAGCAGCCGGCCCAGGGTCTCAGGGTAATTGTCCTCCACCACCTCAATCATCCGCAGCAGGGCCTTGACCCCCGGCCGCCACAGGTGACGCATGTTGAGACCCTCCAGGTCCACCAGGCAGGTCCAGGAGCTGCGACAGAGACGGGCCACTCACTCCAGCTTGCTCTGCCACCTCCCAGGGCTCTGACACCCTCAGGGAGTCTCGGGGGCTGGCAGACAGGAAGGGATGGAGAGACTCAGGAAGGCAGGGCTGGGAGTGGAGGGGCAGGACAGTCTCATGGAGGCTACCACCCCCGACCCTCAGCTGGGGAGGCCATGGGATGAGTTCAGTGCCTGGCCTCTGAGGCTAGACACCTGAATTCCAGTGTCCCCTCCGCCCCCGAGAGCTGTGTGACACGGGCAACTTCCTCATCAAGACAGTGGCAGTGACACTAAGGGTCCCCATCTGGAGCAGTTGTTAGGATTAAGTGAGATAGTATGTGTAAAGCGCTCTGCAGGGACGGGCCATAGCAGCACTTGATAAAAGCCAGTTACTGCTATCAATTGTTGAAAAGGTGCTGACTGCTAAGAACACACACTCCAGAGCCAGATGGCCTGGATTCAGATGCCAGCTCTGCCACCTGCTGTGTGGCCTTGGCCAGGTTCCTTGACCTCTCTGTGCCTCCATTTCACTGGTACTAATTCATTAGGGAAATGACTGTTTTACCACAGCAGCTAGTCCCCAGGAGCCTCTCCATCCTGCCTTTGTTCCCTTCATCCAGCCCACACCACTGCAAGGAGTCCCTCATGACATCCTGTCATCTGAGCCATCTCAGATGAATTCCACTTCTGAGCAGGACCCTGATTGACCGATTTCTCACCCCAACCAATGTATGTCTCCTTAGGAAATCTCCAGACAACAAAGGAACTTAATTTTCCCAAAGATCGGGCTACGTTAGGATAAAAAGCCGCAACAGCAAGAGCAGCCTGCCGCTCCCCACGCCCCGGGCTGTAAGAAGGACAAGGTGAATCAAGTACTATGGAGAACACATGCTGAAGAGCCAGTGTTACCCCTCGACAGTCATTGTTTTTAATGATACGTAAAGAAACCCTGGGACTCGTGATATGACTCCCACATTACAGATGCGCAAGCTATTGTTCAGAAAGGTTCAGTGCCACTGTAAGTACTCAGTTGGGGGAAGTCAGAGAGGGACGGTGGTTCCTGGATGTGCCGTGACACCTGCAAGTCCCCCTGCCTGGGAGACAGAGTCAAGGTGGCACTTGGTGGGGGAGCAGAGCTGGCCTCACAAAGCAAGATCGAGGGGGTGATGGGGCACAGGGCATCATGTCTTTGAGCCCAAAGCAGACGGGAACAGGTTCCAATCTCGGCTCTGCCACTTACCCATTTCGCAACAACCTTGGATGAGCATCGCCCCTCTGAGTCTCAGTTTCCCCCTCCACAAAGAGCAGGGACAGTAACAGTCCCTGCCTCACAGGATCGTTGTGAGAATGAAGAGAGGACATTTCTGTGAAGTACCCAGCATGCTTCCTGGCCCAGCGTCTACGCCCCATGAACCTTGGCTGTTTTTACTATTTCGGGGGAACTGGCTCCTGGCTGGGGTTCTTGCCTGATGGGACGGCCAAACTGCTTTGTGTTCCCTTCACATCTCTTCTGTCCCTCCTCATTGACAGAAAGAACCTGGAAAGTAGAGAACGGGCTGGCAAACGTTCTGGTGGCTGTTCCGCCCGCGGGCAGCCCTGGGATCCGGAAAGTGGGGACCCCGACTCACGTGTTTCAGCAGCGTCTCCTCCCCCACAGCCTTCATCAAGCCTTTGGTGTCCATGTGGCCCAGGCGCAGGATGTAGAGGGGGCGGCCATCTTTGTAGGCGAGGGAGGCCGAGCAAAGAGAAGGGACATTATTTCAGGGCTGGTAGGGAGAGGGCAAGACCCAAACTTCTCCTTGGAGGAGGCGATGCCAGGCTGTGGCTCAGCCTGGCCCCTCCTGTCCCTTTATTCGCGGATGTTCTGCCTGCTCCCAAGAGGGGCTGACACCAGTTATGGCCAGAGAGGCAAAGTGTCCAAGGGTCAAAGAGATTTGCATCACACAGGAAACCGGGTGAGGGGCACGGGATACCTTTCTGTACGACCTCAGCAACTTTTCTGCAAACCTCTCCTAAAATTAACCGTTTACTTTACAGCTTTTTAAAAAAGAAGAGATGAACCGTGTTAGGAAGGAATATGGAGAGAGGGGATAGTGTTGGCTCTCAGCTTTCTGTCAACCAAAGCGAATAGGAAAAATAAGGAAGTGTGTACGAATACAGTCGATTCTTGTTGTTCATGGTAGTGATGTTTCTTTCCTAAAGTCACCTTGAACACTGAGTTAGGGAACAATGAAGCATCGCTTTGAGGAATAATATGGGGTAAGGTCCCTGCGAGCCTTGAGACATTACATTTTTGTTAACTGATCGATACATAACCTTGTCCTGAATTTATTGAATTCAGGAGCTCTAGCCTCAGAGGCCATGCTCATTAAGGACACCTTATTGGGTATAAATTGTTGATTCATCCACATTGTGAGCTCATGGCCAGAGGCACAACACTCAAGCCTTAAGAAGCTTTTCTAGGGGCACCTGGGTGGCTCAGTGGGTTAAAGCCTCTGCCTACAGCTCAGGTCATGATCCCAGAGTCCTGGGATCGAGCCCCGCCTCGGGCTCTCTGCTCAGCAGGGAGCCTGCTTCCCTTCCTCTCTATCTGCCTGCCTCTCTGCCTACTTGTGATCTCTCGCTCTCTGTCAAATAAATAAATAAAATCTTCAGGAAAAAAAAAAGAAGAAGAAGCTTACCTAACACACACATTTTCTCTGTGAGGCATATCACAGCCTTCTTGTGCTCGGGAACACTGGCCAGCACTTTCGCACTTTGCCTTTAAACAGCAAAAATCACACACACACACACAAGGCACAAAATTGCCAAAAGAAAAATAAAGCTAGTACGAAGTGGACTTTAAAAAGGACTCTTGTTAACAGTATGAGAGCTGAAACAAAAAGGCAGAAGGACATCCTGGGGACACTTAGGTCAGACAGCTGATTTTTTGCCACTCTGAGCATGGTCCTAATTGACCACAGAAGCACCCGAGTATTGATTTGGGGGTTACAAATAAATTTGCGTGAGTAGGCAAATTCGCCAATATGGAATCCATGAATAATAAGGAACGACTGTGTATTAAAATAAAGTGCTCCAACCGGTTCTCCAGGAGAATCAAGCACTCACCCTAATCAATATATGTGAATTTTTACTTAAAAGGCATTGAAAAGAATAATGGGCACAGGCATCAAGGGCAGCTTGGTGAGAAACTGAGGGAGGTTATTTGTAGTGGTTGAACAGTGTCCCCCCAAAATTCACGGGCACCCAGAACCTCTGAATGCGACCTTATTTGGAAATAGACTGCGGATGAAATTAGAGAAGGACCTCCAGAGGAAATCCTGCTAGATCAGTGTGGCCCCTAAATCCAGTGACCTGGGGTCTTTCTAAGAGGAGGAGAGGAGGGGCACCTGGGTGGCTCAGTGGGTTAAAGCCTCTGCCTTTAATCCCAGGGTCCTGGGATTGAGCCCCGCATCAGGCTTTCTGCTTGGCAAGGAGCCTGCTTCCCCTTCTCTCTCTGCCTGCCTCTCTGCCTACTTGTGATCTCTGTCTGTCAAATAAATAAATAAATAAATCTTTAAAAAAAAAAAAAAAAGAGGAGGCGAGGACACAGAGAGACAGCCAGAGGGCAGCCATGTGAAGACAGGCAGAGACTGGGGTGACATGACCACAAGCCAAGGAACGCTGGGAGCCCCCAGGAGCGGGAGGAGGCAGGGAGACACTCTCCCCTACAGACACTGCAGGGAGCATGGCCCTGCTCACACCTTGAGTTTGGGCTTCTGCCTCCAGAACTATGAGAACATACATCTCTATGGCCTTAAGCCACCCGGCGTGGGGTAATTTGCTTCGGCAGCCCCGGCACTCATGCAAACTCATGCAGTCATCACGTGTGGGGTCCCAAAGATCAAAAGCAAGGGGCGGGGCACCTGGGTGGCTCGGTGGGTTAAAGCCTCTGCCTTCGGCTCAGGTCATGATCCCAGGGTCCAGGAATCGAGCCCCACATTGGGCTCTCCGTTCAGCGGGGAGCCTGCTTCCTCCTCTCTCTCTGCCTGCCTCTCTGCCTACATGTGATCTCTGTCTGTCAAATAAATAAATCTTAAAAAAAAAAAAAAAAAAAGCAAGTGTGGGTTAAGGCTGCCCCTGAGTGAGAAATAGTGCTTTGAGCCCAAAATGCCCGGCCCTACTTTCCCCATGGCTGGGTGAACCCCAAGGTGAATCTCCAGATACCCAGAAGAGTCAAAAGGAAAAATAATAAGAGGCCAACCTGAAACGCGACCTTCAAAGCACCTTTGGCAGTGACCAAAGTGTACGACGCTCTGCATTATGGAGGTAAAGGGACTCACCTATGTCCTGGTAGTGCCAGCCCCCTGCGTAGAATTCCTCCAGGAGGGCAGGCGGTTGCCACGTCTGGAGGAGGAGATCCACCTGGTGCTGCTTTCTCCAGCTCAAGGACTGGCAAAGCATCTCCCGGGCCTTGTCCAGGTGGAAGTCACGGGCCCGCAGGAACCGGAGGATATGCTCATCTTTGGGAATCTGAGAGAAGGAGAAAGGGCGTAGAACGGTATTCCCTAACCCACGGACAAAATTATGGAGAGCACGTCTCCTGTCTCCTCTGCAAAATACGTAGCTGGGAAGAGGATGATACACTTAACCATGACGCAGTCTAGGGGTGAGCTGTAGGGGAAAATCTGCGAGTTTCGGCTGCCTGACTTTCTTCCCTCCCCACATACCTCTTTTCTTTTGGGGAGCTGCTTTACTTCCCCACTCCCCAGCACCAATCCTGGTTTTAGCTGGTGTTGCCAATCAGCACGCCACTCCCAGGGCCTCAGGGGTGGCACAGCCCGATCACGGCACGTAGACAACTTAAATCAGAAGAATGGGTCGTGAACCCCTTTCTCTGCAGTGGCAAAAGGTGAGTCTACAAGCCACGGGCAGCCACAGCTCCAAGCTCAACGGGGAAGGAAGTCCAACGGGGATGAAACAGAAGCAAACAGATACAAGATAACAAGATACAGATACAAGATACAAGAGCTCAGCGGTCCCAACGGCATGTGAGCCCTGGTTCAGGACATCCCTGAGACAGGTTGCATGGCCCCCTGGGCGAGGCTGAGTGATGTCCCTTCAAAATTCATATCCACCCAAAACCTCAGAATGGGACGTTATTTGGGAACGAGTCTATACTGATATAATTAGCTAAAATGAGGTCGCACTGGCATAGGTAGGCCCCACTCCAGGAAGGGAGTTGGGACACAGACACAGGACACACAGGGGTAAGAAGTCCACAGGACGATGATGGAGGCAGAGATGGCAGCGGCGCGTCTAAAAGCTGAGGACCAGCAGCAGCCACCAGAAGCCAGGAGGGAGGAGGCATGGCCCAGATCCTCCCGCGGAGCCTTCAGAAGGAACCAACCCTGCCCACGCCTGGGTTTCAGACTTCTGGCCTCCAGAACTGTGAAAATACGTTTCTGTTGTTTCGAGCCCCTCAGTTTGTGGCATTTTCTTTCAGCAGCCCTAGAAAATTAATACAGCCTGCTCAACAGTTCTATGGGCCAATAAACACTCCTCTCCTTATTGTTTGCCTTGAATCAAGGTGCATTCCTATCACACAGAACCCAGAGTCTAACTGAGAGTCTAACTGAGAGGCCGAGGGGACAAGTGAAGACCCTGCCAGCTCTCCTTCCTTTCCTTGGGCAAATATCAACAGGCAAGAGAAAGCCAGCCCCAGGGAAATCTCCCCTTGCCTAAGTGTTCATCCCGAGCCAGATACAACTCTGGGCACTTAACATGCCTTGTCCCTCGTAGTTCAGTCCAGATGGCAACTGCCAGCATTATCCTGCTTTACAGATGAGAAAACGGGCAGATAGGTTAAAGCACAGCCCAACATGAAAGTAAACTCCCCTGTCTGCCCCTCTGTCTCCCTTGTCTGCCCTGCCCAGCCTGGGGAGGGGATAGGAAGGAAGGGCAAGCTGGATGTTCTTACTCAGCAGAGCTGAAGGTCAAGTCCGTGCTTGGGACCTACAAGCATGATGGACATTCATGGGATAGGGCTTAGAGTCTGGGGTCGCAGCTGGGGGAGAAGAAGTTATCTTCCAGTGAGGCCAGCACCCCGCAATGTATAAGACCTCCCCCCCCACCCCATAGAGAACTGTCCAGCCTCAAATGTCAACAGTGCAGAGGATGAGAAAGCCTGTGATCAGCGGTGCACACAGCATATGCGTTATAGATGAGACAATATGTGTTATATGCGTTATAGATGAGACAATACATAATAAAAAGGAGGCAAATAGGGGAGGTGGGTGGGGGGACGGGATAACTGGGGATGGGCATTTAAGGAGGGGGCCTGAAATAATGAGCCCTGGGTGTCGTAAGCAACTGATGAATCACTGAATTCTACCTCTGAAGCTAATAATAAAGTATACGTTAATTAAGTTGAATTTAAATTAGAAAAAAAGGAAGGTAAAATAGAAGTTCCCAGGATTGCTAATGACATCAGCCTGTTTACCCCACCCTTCTGCCACCAGGGCCTGAAGTAGCTACCATTGAACGGGCTCTGGTAGTCCCCAGCTCTGCACCCACCTTGCCTTTGTGGGTCTCCTGCAACCAGTGCCGAAGCTGGATCAGGCAGCTCTCCTGCACGGGTGTGAGATGGCCCAGGTACCTTTGAATATAGTCTGCATCCAGCTTGTCCCCTGCGGGAGAAGATGGGGGAGTTCAGGACCAGAGGGCAATCTTCTCCACATTGTCTACTCTTTCTGGAACCCTCATCTCACTGGCCACCTCAGATCAGAAGCGTCGGGTACAGTGGCCCTTTCACCAAAGAACAGCCACGGGGGTTCCACACCCTCTGGTCTTGCCGACCCATTTCCAAGATGGTTATGAAAACTCATGGTGGGGCCGGCCTGGATCTCACTGTGGCAGGTGATGTGTCCTTTGACCCTTGGAAATCCAGGTAATTCCCACACACACCCCCCCCCCGGAGCTGTTCTGCTCTCTGAAGATTATTAACAACATGTGCTCATTGTTTCCAGACATGCGTCATCTCAGGGAGCTCTCCCAGCACCCCTGTGAGGCAGGGGCACTACTGTCCCCACTTCATGGAAGACAAAACTGAGGTCAGGAGAGGTTAAGTAGCAACAAAAGCATGCAGTGCCCCATCATAAAAGAGATGGTCCGTAGGTACAGTTCCTTTTGCCTTCCCACCTCCCGGCCCCCTTGTGGGTTTGAGGCTTTTCATAGACAGAGCCCTGACCCCGAAATACAGCCCAGGAGTTGCACAGATCATTCCCAGTGTTCAGTCCTGTCCAGTTGCGTGATTGGGCTGTTTGGGGTCAGCATGTTCAGGCATTTAGAGGCTGGGCTCCAACCTGAGGTCCCGGTACCCACTCCTAACTGCCGGGGCGGCAGATGCCGGCACGGACATTAGCATGCGAGCATCTCAGCAGCAGGTAGGCGGTCCACAAGATCAGCCCCCACGGGCACAGCCCGTTCTCTGTATGCGCAAGAAGAAAATAAGTGGGATGTGTGCACAAGCAGCAGTAGGACCCAATGGTTCCCTCTAACATAAAAACAGTCCAGGCTGGAGGTCAAAAGGCATCTGGGTAAACAGAAGCAGGAGAGATGCTGGTGGTGTAGGGGTGGGGGAGCCTCAGAGAGGCTGGAGATGAGAAAGGGGCTTGGAGAGGATGAGGGAGAAAGCACAAGGGAGGCAGGAGATACCAGCATCCTTCCGGCCTCTGGGCAGCTGTGAAGGCCCCTTTCTCCTGAGCACAAAGGCCCAGTGATTCAGGGCCGGGCGGAAGGGGCTTGACTCTGCCTCTCGCCAGCCATCCCAAACACCAGCCCTGCTGCTGGACAGCACAGACGGACAAGGGAGGAAAAGCCTGGTGCAAAATGAGGAGGGCACAGGGCATGACCACCAGACAATGTGCACAAGAAGGGGCAGAAGTTTTAATTTTTTAAATATTTTAGAAGTGCACGTACCCCAGTAGCCAGCTAGTACATATACAATTGGTACAGAGTAAATGTTTGTTGAGTGAATGAATTTTGTTCTCCCTAAACACTGCCCCAGATGTATTATTGGTTACATGGCACATGTCAAAGGAAGCCAAGCCCTACACTTCAGTGGCCCCCAAGGAAAGACCGAATCTTCGTAAGCACAAATGCGTATGGTTAAAACTGAATTCATGGAGTATATGTAGTTTTGAGTCCTAGGGATTTTTTTTTTTAATTTTAACATTATATTGTGAACATTTCCCATGTCAACAAAAGTTTTAAAATATGACAAAGGGCTAATAGCCTTCAGTACAAAGAGCTCTTACAAAGCAGTAAGAAATCAATGGGAAATAGGAATCAAGGAATCAATAGGAAAATAAAAAAGTACAAGAACAGAGATTCACAAAAAAACAATATGGAGTCACTAAAAACAAGAAAATAATATTTGGCCCCACTCGTCTACCATTGGTCACTGTTTGCTTTCAGTTCATATTTTTTAAAGATTGTATTTATTTATTAGAGAGAGAGTACACGAGCGGGGAGGGGTGGAGACTCAGAGGGAAAAACAGAAGGAGAGGCAGAGGGAGAAGCAGAGGGAGAGGAAAAAGCAGACTCCCTCACTGAGCAGGGAGCCCAACTTAGGTCTCGAACCCAGGACCCCGATCATGACCCGAGTGGAAGGCAGACGCTTAACCAACAGAGCCACCCAGGCACAGTCTCGTGGGGAACTGGAGTGAGGTCAGGAATAGACACAGCTATGCCCTTTTGGGGAGAACATTGATTAGTACAATGTCTTTGTAAGCCTAATTGGTAAATCAGCCAAAATTTTGTCTGCATATAACCTTTGACCCAACAATTCAACTTAAAAAAAATTTTATGCTATGGGATGCCTGGGGGGCTCAGTCGTTAAGCATCTGCCTTCGGCTCAGGTCATGATGCCAGGATCCTGGGATGGGGTCCCACATTGGGTTCCCTACTCAGCAGGGAGCCTACTTCTCCCTCTGTCTGCTGCTCCCCCTGCTTGTACTCTCATTCTCTCTCTCTCTCTCTCTCTCTCTGGAAATTAAAAAAAAAAAAAGTATGCTACCTATATGCTTACATAAATATAAAAACAACCTTAAGTAGAAAGATATATTATTTATATTTTTAAGTGGAAAAAAATTAAAAACCAGAAAACTAAATATCCATTAATAGAAGATAAGCTAAATTAACTAAAAATAATCAATAATCAATACGTGTTTATTAATAAGTTAAGTTATGGTAGGGCCCAAATACACCGTAAAATACTGCAAGGTGCTGAGACAGAAACAATGATCCAGAAAACTGTTCAAGCAACATCAGGAATTGAAAATAAGCAAAACATCCAGTAGAATGTATAACATGCTCTCACTCATTCAACATATAAGTTATACACGTCTGCTTGCCTGTGTATGCATGTGTGTGTACGTATTATGTACGTATAAATGCCTAGATAGTTTCAGGAATTATAAGCACAAAACTATTATGGCCTCGAGGGAGAAGAAAGGAGTCTTACTTCCTAATTTACATCTTCCAAGAAATTTGAGGTTTTTTCCCTACCATCATCATGCCTTACTCATATAATTAAAAATAGTAAAAGACAACAACAACAACAACAAAAGGAGAAAAGGGCAGCCCTGAGGCACCAGATCAGGTCAATTCCTGATTTAGAAATAAACCAGTTCTGGCTCTTGGGCCGGAAGGGAGAGAGGGTGAAGCTTCGGGAAAGGGAGGAAGCTGACTCATTCCAGGTCCCAGACCCGTTCCCAAGGGGACGCGCAGCAGTTCTCCTCCCACGGAGTGAGCAAACCCTAAGCAGGTTTCCGGGGACCGGGTGGCTGGCAGGGGGGAAGGGGTGGCCAAAGGCAGAGACCTGGCCAGCTGGCATCCGCCGCAGGGACCTACCCTCGGTAAGAACCGTCTCAGGAGCAGGGCCTGGGGTGCTGCTGGGCCTGTCAGCCTGCAGGGAGCCAGCATCCCTCGGGCCAGCCTGAGAGCGGGCGTCCTCCTCTCTGACGGGGGCAGGCGTCCAGCGGGGAATGTGAGAGGTGCCCTGGGAGATGAGCTCGTTCAGGTAATGCTCAATCACCTCCTTCCCCTGGAAGCCAGAGAGATCAGAGGCACATGAGCACCAGGGCAGGTGAGCCCGTCAGCCTGTCACGCCCACCTGGCTGCCGTCCCGACCCTGACGTGTGGCTATCGAGCAGTTGCAATGTGGCCAGTCCGAACAGAGACGTGCCACGAGTGTCAAATACAAACTGGAAATCCAAGAGTTAGTGTGGTACAAAAAAACATAAGAGAGTTCATTAATAAGTTTTCTCTGGATAATACGTTGGATAAAATATACTGTTAAAATGAATTTCATCTGTTTCATTACCCGTCTCCTCAGGGACGGGTCTGAGATCTTTACGCAGCAATCAACTGGGGCAAAGCACCAGAGAAAGCCCTTCCTCTGTCCCGAGTTCACTGCACAAGCCCCAAACATCACGGAGCTTCAGGATAATGATTATGGTGTCTCCATTCCCGGCCGGGTGGTTTCCACTCATTATCTTGTGTGTTATGGGCATTATTAGGATACCCATTCTATGGATGAGAAGACTGAAGCCAAGGAAAGTTAAGGATCCATCTTGCCCGATGTCACTTGGGTTGTCACTTGGGTGGCAGAGCGGGTTTTGAACCAGGATGGCTGGCTCTGAGGTCTGTGTACCTTCCTCCTTGTGACTGACCCAGGAGCCCGCCTCTTACCCTCTTGACGTTGGCTGTGTATTGCTTCATGGCGATCTTCTCCAGGGCACTTTCGAAGCCAAAGAAGGACCGGATATCAAGCGAGGCAGACTGCTCAAAGCAAGTCCACTCTTCATTCTCAGGGTGGACCTGAAAGCCAGGCAGGGGTGATGATAAGGTCCCAGAGTGGGGATACCACGCCCCCCCACACTCTTGGTGTTGTGGGCCCAGCCAGAGCATATAGCGACAGCACCTGGGGGGGTGGAGCTCCTAGGGCAGGGGGAGGGGCAGCAGCCTCGCTCAGAGAACAATGCAAAGTGGTAAAGAACAAAGAGCCTTCTCATGAGGGGACAGGAGAAAGTGGGTCTGGTATGTGCGTGCCTCTCCCTTAAAAATTGTTACAGAATGATATCTTTAAATGAGTAATATATTTAATATTTAAATATATATAAGCAAGTTAAACATAATTAGTATATATTTTAGGTATATATTTTAAAGTATGTGTTATATATATATGTATTATTTAAAAAATATATATATATATATATGCAAACTTTGTTGACACAGCGACTGTGCAGGCCCAGGCTTAGTACTTCTCAGACTTCCGTGGGCAGAAACACGAGCGGGGAGTCTGCTAAACATGCAGCTGTCTGGGCTGAATGGGTCCAGGGCATGGCCTGGAAACCTGCATTTCCCAAGCAGCCTCGGTGATGCTGATTCAGCTGTGGGCCGAACTCACTCTGAGAAAGAGTGCACTAAAAACGATTCATTAAAAACTGCCACCCGCACTTTCCTATAGGTAAGCATCTGAACATCCTGGGCCCAGTTTCCAGGGGGTCCCAAGAGGATTTGAAAATATGGAAGGAAAAAGCAATGGGCATTTCCTGGATACCTGCTGTCTACAAGGCACCAACGCCAAGTGCTGGGGACCAGACTGATGAACAAGGCAGTGCCCTGCTACGGAGGAGGCTCCCCCTGAAACACCTCTAATGCACTATAGTTACGATGTCGGACTTATCATCATGAAAACCACCATTTGGAATCTAGCAGAGGCTAAGGGGGCTTCACCTACAAAATCTCATTTGTTCCTGCCAGCACCAGATGAGGTAGGTTCCCCTGGCAGAAACCTCCGAGGCAGCCTAGGGAGGGGAACCAACTTGCCCAACATCACTCAGCAAGAAAGTGGCAGAGCTGGGCTGCATCCCAGCAAATGCCTCCAGACTCCTCCCTCCCTCCACCCTCTGGAGGTCCCTATCCCCAGACTTTACTCATCCACTCCAGGCTCTTCGCATATGCTGTTCCTGCCCCAGAACTCTGTTCCCAGTCCTCTCATCTGTCAGCTCTCAGCTTCCTCCTCAGAGAGGCCTAAGGGACACTGGTACGTAAGAGAGTACCTGTCCCCTTCCCTTCCCTCATCCTGCCTGCTGGATCCCTTCTTAGCACTTGTGACAACGTTGTAAGTATATGTTGACTTTTTTCCCTTATCTGTCTCCCACTGGAATGGGAGTTTTCGTGAGCCCAGCAGTCAAGCGGACTAGTCCACCACCAGGTGCCCTGGCGCATAGTAGGCACCCAGTCAGTGTGTACTGAAGAATAATACGAACGACCCTTAATTATATTACAAGATAACACACCTACGGGGCTTGGTATGTGCCAGGCACTCTTCCAAGGGGTTTGGATAATTCACTTCCTTTAATCCTCAATACAACCCATGCGGTAGGTGCATTAACCCCACTTAAAAACAGATGGAGAAACTGTAAATGAGGGTGCATTTCTTGGAGGGAGGAAAGGAGAGAGAGAAGAGGAAGGGGGGTTGGCACCTGGGTGCCTCAGTGGATTAAAGCCTCTGCCTTGGCTGGGGTCAAGATCTCGTGGGTCCTGGGCTCTCTGCTCAGCGGGGAGCCTGCTTCCCACCTCTCTCTCTCTGCCTGCCTCTCTGCCTACTTGTGATCTCTCTCTCTGTCAACTAAATAAATAAAATCTTTAAAAAAAAAAAAAAAAAGAGGAAGGGGGAGGCAGGTTGCCAGGTTTCGCCAGCAAAATACAGGATGCCACATTTGAATTTCAGATAAACAATGAATAATATTTTGTTGAGTGTCCCAAGCAATACTTGCCACTACTTAAACAAACAACAAAGTATCAGCTGTGCATCTGAATTGCAGATGGAAACCTGGTGTCCTACGACTTGTAAAGGACAAGGCCCCTGCGCAGAGGAGGGGGCGTGCTGAGCTGGTGCAAGGGGGAGGGGCGGGACACAGGCTCACTGTGTAGCTGCAGTTCTCATTGACCACGACGCGGCTGGCGAAGGTTTCGTTGTGGGCTTCGATGAGCAGGGTCCTCTCCCTCCAGTTCAACACGTTTCTCTGCACGAAGACCACGTGCTCAACGCCAGCAATCTGCAAGGGAAGGGCAATGGTGGCGCCTGCAGGACATGGAGATTTGCGGAGACCTGGCCTCGCCCCACCAGCTGGCCCTCCACCCCCAGACCCTGAGACCCCGGGTGCCTACCCACCCTAGTTCCCAGCCCATCAATCAGCCCCTAGGCCTTGGTCCTTCCCAGACTAGACCTCAACCCAGACCCTCCTGCCCCCAATCCCAGGACTCCCCATACTGGCACCTACACTCCCACAAACTCTGTCCACCACCTGAACCCGCCCCCAGGTCCCCCACCCCAGAACTCTCCTCTGCGCCCCTCCCTCAGCCCCTGGGACCCTCCTCCCCACTCACCTTCCGCAGCAGCCGTGGGGCCTCCACGCGCAGCCGGCAGCTCCGCTCCACCACGTGGACCGCCCCATCCGGGCTGCGGGACTCGCGCAGGACCTCGCTGCCCAGGAAGACGGGGATCTGCGGGCAGGTGGGGAAGCGCTTCTCATAGGCCTGGAGGCAGAGCGGGAGTGAGGGCCAAGGGGGCTGGTGGCCCCAGAGGGGCCCACAGCACGGCTGCTGAGGCCTGGAGCTCAACCCTCCTCCCTCAGGCTGGGCTGATGTCTCATTTACTGGAGCAGAAACGCCGGACGCCTGGGGGGGTTCAGTCCTTAAGCAGCGTCTGCCTTTCCTTTCAGCTCAGGTCATGATCCCAGAGTCCTGGGATAGGCCCCATATGGGGCTCCCTGCTCAGCGAGAAGCCTGCTTCTCCCTCTCCCACTCCCCCTGCTTGTGTTCTCTCTTTGTCGCTGTCTCTCTCTGTCGCATAAATAAAATCTTAAAAAAAAAAAAAAAAAAAAAAGATAACACGGGCGCCTGGGTGGCTCAGTGGGTTAAAGCCTTTGCCTTCGGCTCAGGTCATGATCCCAGGGTTCTGGAATCGAGCCCCGGCTTCCGATGCTCTGCTAGGCAGGGAGCCTGCTTCCACCTCTCTCTCTGCCTGCCTCTCTGCCTACTTGTGATCTCTGTCAAATAGATAAATAAAATCTTAAAAAAAAAAAAAAAAAAACCTGCTTACCTGGCAAATGAGCTTATTTTTTAAAAATAAATAAATAACAATTTTAAAAAGAAAAAAAAAAACCCAGAAACTTGAATTCCTGGCCTAAGAGCAGTGACCCCTGCTGTTTGACCAACAAGACATCATTTTAATACCTGTTTCAGAGACTAACACACAAGTGCACAAACAATGATTTAACAAATCACTCCTTGGCTCTGCATTTGAGATTTCATCCTCAGAAGGAAGCGTGGGTTGCCTGGGGCGTTTTAAAAGAAGGCATCTTTCAGGAAAAAAAAAAAAAAAAAAAAAAACACTTGATAGAATCCAACACCTCTTCACGACAAAAGCACTGAACAAACGAAGACTAGCAGGGAAATTCCCCAACCTGATAAATCATACCCATTGCTAAAAGACGGAATACGTCCCCCTCTGAGATGAGGAGCAAGACAAGGATGTCCCCTCTGGCAAAGTCTGCTCAACATTGTCCTGGAGGTTCCAGCCCTGGCAGTTTGGGAAGTAAAAGAAATAAAAGGCATCCAGACTGGAGGACGGGAGTCTGTGCCCAGTTCCGGAAATGCCAGGGCAAGAGCCACAGTGGGGTAAGCCAGCATCCATGGCTGACTGTATCCAAGTGGGGTCGGCTCCAGGCGCCTGTCACAGCCCACTTGCCAGGCAATCGGGATCAAAGCAGCTCCAAAAATAGTGCTGGCATCTGAGGACAGCACCTCCTCCCCCATCCCTCAGGGCTCCTCCCAGCTCCGAAGTGCAGAGCGGGGGAGGGGCAAGAAGAAATGGAACGGTGCCCGGTGCCCTTGATGTCACCCCAGGCCCCACAAGGCCAGCCCAGTGTGTCTTCCTGCCATATGTTGAGCCTGGTTGCCTTGTACAGACAGAACAGACACGGCAGGGTTGGAATAAGGAGCCCTTGTTCCCCAGCGGAGAGTGCACCGCGAGCTGGCATTTGCCCACTGAGGACAGAACTGCACCACAGAGTGGGCCGATCCCGTGGTGGTGGCCAGCCAAGGGGGTGTGAGGCCCAGCTCCACCTCCTCCCAACAGAGGCAAGTGCTTTCCTCCTCTAAGCCTCTTTCACCATCTAGAAAATGGGTACATACCAAGTTTGCCTCCCAGAGTATGAAACCAGGTTGGCTACTTAATGCAGAGCCTGGCTCATTTAAAGCAACCAGAATTTTCATTCTCCAGGCAACAAGGCTCAAACGACAACAGAACACGGGTTTGCAAGAACCGCAGACAGTTCCCTACCAGCCATATCTGAGTAATCCCTTCTCACTAAATGCTGGAGGGAGCCAGAGGGGCCGGCTTGGGCTCACCTCCGTGATAGGAGGAGGGATGCTGACATTTTCTGAAAGTATGTGGAGGGAAAGGGATGCATGTTTCAGAATCAACAGGCTCAGTTCATGTCTCTGCTACTTTCTCAATGAGTGGCCTTGTGAGTCTCTGTTTCCTCATCTGTGAAATGGGGTGGCATCCCCATTTGACAAATGAAAGAATTGAAATGCAGAGAGGCTAAGTAACTTACCCAAGGTCACACAGTGAAAACTGTAAACCTGGATTTGAATCCCAGCGTGGCACAGTCCCCATTCCCTCAGGAAGGCTTTGTTCTTCTGGGTAGCTGGGAAACAGCCAGGCATTAAACCCAGGGCCAAGCAGTGACGATTTCCCCCTTCTCTACCCTCAGTCCTTCAGCCTCTACTCACCCATGGCCACACTGCCCCCGAGTTTCTGCACTCCCTCGAATTATTCTACAGTCTCTCCTGCTTCCCAGATGAAATGACATACTCAGAGCAGGCCTAGATGCCCAGAACATGTCCCACACTCCACACTGTGGCCCACCAGGCCCCAGGCAATCTCTGCCACCAGCCACCTTCACTCTGCTCCAGCCACGCCAGCCTTGCTGTTTCTAGAACACATTTTTATGGGTTTAGTTGTGTGCCAATCCCTGTCTCCCCCAACACCAACAGAATTCATGTGTCAAACCTAGTTTCTCTGAATGTGACCTTATCTGGAAATAGATCCTTGTAAATGAAATTAGTTAAGAAGAGGTCATACTGGGGTGCCTGGGTGGCTCAGTGGGTTAAAGCCTCTGCGTTCGGCTCAGGTCATGATCCCAGGGTCCTGGGATCAAGCCCCGAATCCAGGCTCTCTGCTCAGCAGGGAGCCTGCTTCCTCCTCTCTCTGCCTGCCTCCCTGCCTGCTTATGATCTCTGTCAAATAAATAAATAAAATCTTAAAAAAAAAAAAAAAAAAGAAGAGGTCATACTTGGGAAGGGTGAGGCTGGGAAGACCCCTAATCCAATACAGCTGTTGTGTCCTTATATAAAGGGGAAATTTGGTCACAGTCATACAGGAAAAACACTATGTGATGATGAAGGCACAGGTCTGGGTGATTCCTCTACAAGCCAAGAAATGGCAAAGATCACCAGCAACACCAGAAGCTAGTAGAAAGGCATGGAATAGATTCTCCCTCAAGCCCTCAGAAGGGACTGATCCTGCCAAAACCTTGATTTCAGCCTTCTAGGCTTGAGACTGTGAGGTACAAATTTCTGTTTAAGCCACCCAGTTTGTTGTACTTTTAAATGTCAGCCCCAGGACACTAATGCACGTATCATCTGTTCCCACCACAGGACTTTTGCACGAGCTGTTCTCTTTCCCTGGGTCACTAATCAGTTTACTTGACAGTGAAGGAGGAAGGAGGAAGGAGGCCTGAGTAACTGGGGCTTCAAGAGGGTTAACAGACTTGTGTCAGGGGCTAAGGAGATGCTCTGGCTTCAGGAATTCATCTGTGCTGGTCCCTCTCCTGTGACATCTTCCCCCCACCTTCTCCCCTATAAGGCTGCCTCTTTCCCTATTCTGTCCTTTTAGCCTATTCATTTCCTTGATACCATTTATCACACCCTTTAGCCATATCCTAGCTCGCATGTGGTGTGCCAGAGGCCTGGGCTACGTGCTTTTCCACAGCCCTAACCTCATGCATGTCTGTCTCAGTTCTTGGCACACAGTAGGACTAATAAATGTCCACAAGCAAAGAAAAAAATAATTTAAACTTGTCGATGACCCAAAAAGCCCCAAGAAAGGTGTCCCAGGAGGGCAATGACAGGCCATGGAGCCTGAGAATCCAACCGGGACTGACTTCCTGTTGTAACAAACCCCTAATTAGAAGAGCTCCATCTGGAGCCTCCAGATAACTGTGGAGGGTGGAGGGTGGAGGGCTGCTCAGCAGCAGAGGCTGCTTGGGCCCAGCTTTCCCTGACCCTGAAAGCGAAGGTGCTACCTTTCTCAAGTAGCAATGATGGGGCAAGGCCAGGCATTAGGGCGGGGAGCAGTCAGAGCTAGGTCCCAGCTGGAAGGCAGAGGTCCCTAAATAAAGAGTCCCTCCCAGTGCTGTACCTCCTGCTGGAGAGTCCCCAAGTTGTGAGGCCCAGGGTCAGGCACTGTTGCTACTGACATTTATGGGATGCCAACTGCATCGTTTCTTTGGACAGTGCTCCAAGAGGGAAACTAGTATTTCCCCATTTTACAGATAAGCAAGTTGAGGCTCTGGAAGGCATCACACAGTCAGTAAGTTGTGGGGCTGGAGCACAGGCCCTTCTGACCCAGACCCCAGCCCTGAACCACCCTGTCCCACCTGTGAGCGGACTTTGGCTATATCCCAAGCGTCAAGAGTTTGGAAATGCTGAGTCCTGCTGGCCTAAAACCTGTGAGTCAGGGGCATCTTTGCCTTTGGCAAATCGCAGGGTCTTACAGGACGGAGCAGTCCACAGGATCCTCCCCATGGGCTCCTGTCCCCACAAATCACGCCTGAGCTTCCCTGTGCTGAACAAGCTCATGGTCTGCTCCCCCCCAACCACCCCCGCCCCCAAGGAACACAAGGTAGCAGAAGGATTCGGTTACAGCCCTTCTGCCAGGTGGCTAGAGAGGGACACCCAAGCCTCCTCACTCAGAAAGGAAGCTGGTCCCAGGCCCAGATCCCGCCCATGCAGGGCTGCAGCTGGGGTAGGCAGAGACCAGTGGAAACTTCCGTTGACTGCCTCCCATGGGCCTCCATCCTGTAAAAATCCACAGTGACACACTTAGCATGTGGAGATGGGCAGCTGGACACCTAGCCAGACCGGCCTACCCTCAGCTGGGTAACCTTGAACACAGGCATGTCCCCTAGTCTCCCTTCATCTGTAAAGTGGAGTGATTCACTCCCAGTGAGCACCTGGTTGTACCCTTTTCCTTCATCTGTGCGTCACAGCTGCTGACAAGAAGTCATCGGCCCCTGGCAGTGAGTTTATCCCCCTCCCACCAAATCTCTGGGGCTTGTCAAAACGGCACAGCCAACACTCAGTGGGCATTTACGTGGTGAATGAGTGAACGACAGCATTCCATACCCATTAAGGGCACGGACTCTGGGGCTTGGGTCCAAATCTCTGCTCTGCTTTTTACCAGCTGT